CGCCGGCCATGTGCGCGTCTCGAAGGAGCCTCGTCTTCTGCCGAGCAGAGCGCGTTACCTCTGCTCACTAAGAGCTGTAAATCACCCAGCGCGGAATAAGTTTTCCTGACTTCCAAAGTGCTTCCAAGTGCTTCCAAACAAAAGGAAGAAGAAAAAAAAAAAGATGATTTCACCATGCTCTATGTTTGCCTTTTATATGTGTCTTTCTGTAAATACTTATTTTATTACTTTTAAATATATGGATATGCTACACAATACAGCATGATTAAGAAAGACATCCAGAGGCAAGATTGAGCAAGAGCAATTTTGAAAGGAGTCCAGAAAACTAGTTTCTCTTTGGCTTGGTGATTTGTTTCTAGTCTTGAGACTTGGGGGAAAAAAATGAAACGATAGTTCATCAGTAAGAAAGAATGGTACTTTGCATGGCATAACCATAGTATGGTTATAGTTGCAATTTAGTCATACCAAATAGTAACACTATAGCTACGAGACAGGAGATAGATAGCAAAGATGGAAAACTGGACAGATATTGCACAATCTGACAGTTTGCTGTTTACTTCTCTACTATTTACTTCTCACTATTTACTTCTATTGCGAGTAATTATTACAAGTAATTATAAGTAATACTTCTTCCAAATTAATCGCTTTGGAAACAATAACTCCAGCATGAGTTAGGGAAAGCGTTAGCTGGCGTGAACCAAAAGCATGCCAAGGACAAATTGACGATGTAGGCAATTTCATTCAGATGTCCAGGGTTATTCCTCTTTAATTTACTAATATAGATGTAGACTCAAAGTACTATGAAAATATTCACTGAGCTATAAAGTAGGTAATACACAATCTGTTGTCTTTTTATGCATGCAGAAACTGAGGCAGTGGTCTATTTTGATTTGTTTACATTGATTTATACACAGATAAATGCTAGCTCCCATGTCTTCAGTGGAGTTAACTGAAATTTACACTGATAGATTTGGGATGATAATTTAATGTTCCAGCATATTACATGTTATCAAGTACATTTTCTTAGGGCTAGATTTAACTAACTATCTAAGTGCTTACCACTGAAATACTACCAAACACCTTCTCTGCATATATATGGGTGAAACTGCGATCTCCAAGACTTCTGCCCGCCTTCAATCTGACTCTTGAGGCTTCGGAAGTGAGTAGGTGCACTGTTTTGCCATTAAAGCTCAGAGGTGCTTGGAGTTCTTTTCTGGATATTGGGAAGCATCTGACTCTTGATGGCACTAAGCAGCCTGGATGCTGAAGAAAGCATGCTCCCAGGATTTACAAGATGTAAGTTTGGATGCCTTCAGATAGAAATGACAGATGAACACACCTTCTCAGCCAGCTGCACATGGACATAAAGAAAGACTTTCTTCTTGCGTTCCTTGAAAGAAGGTGGAGAGGGTGATATGGCCCCCAGTCTCAAAAAGCAACACAATCTTGGATGAGGAAGCCAAAGAGATATTACAACATAATGAGTATTTTGGCTTGTCCTGCAGGGATAGATTTCATTAAAAAAAAACTCCTGATGTGATTTTTTGGCTTATGTTTACAGAACATCAAGTTAGTGGTCTCCTCGGCAATCAAATCTATTTTTAAAGTGAACATCTTAATCCTCTGAATAAGGACCGTGTGAAGCAAGCACAAAGTAAAAAAAAAGAAGACTGAATGCTGTATTGGGTGGACAGACTTCACTGATGCGTGAAGACTTCACACTGCGTTCCCTGGGTGGGTTATGGAGCAGAGGCACTAAGTTTGGAATTTGGAACAAAAACCAAAGTGGAATTTCTAGCGTCATTAACTAACACACGGTAGTCACTGTTTTCTGGGTAGCAATTTTACTAACTTTCACCAATTCCTTTCTCTAATGCCATGCTAGAATGTTAAAGATATCTTCACTTTTTTTTTTTAAACTTACGGGGCGTACGTGAAAACAAGAATATGTGTACTTGGTTCTGTCTTCTAAAACTGGTGAAATTTTCATGCTAAGAGCCTTACAGTTTCAAGCGTGCTCTTGTTTCAGCTGATTATAACAGACATAAGGGTTCCTATCTATATTTAATAAAAGCAAGTGCAACATTTTCTGAAGTGATTGCAGAGCAGAGCTGATTGTCTAAATCAAGCTCATAACCAATATATGAACTGAGTGTACACTTAGAAAATTCCAGCGGACATTCATATGACTAGACTATGAAAATGCTTCTTGTATCGCTCTCTATTGACCTCAGAACCTCAAAATGATGTTTTGAAATCCTTTTTTTCCCCATAAGCATTCCAACTGCTTATAAAAATTCTAAAAAGTTACCCTGTGAGTTTAAAAAACAGACTTTTCAGTCCTCACAGAAGAAAAGCAATATTTA